CATTCTTCACTATGTATCTGAGATACTATAAACCATACTTCTGTTTCCAATCATACAATGAATATCTTGATATTTTACATTTGCAAAAATATGAATGATAGTAAACCTATTTGAGGAAGAAGATACATCACATTTATAAACTTACTTAAGTAAAAATTCCCCAAAAGCAGTAGTGATGAACATTTATTAAATACTCACCAGGTGCCTATACTTATACTACAAATGGCAATGTATACAAAAAGTTTTAAAAATGATGAGCAACAATAAACTGGAATTTAGACTCTAAACTTGTAATCACTTTTTCAAGATAATAAAAACAGCAGGAATACTATAAACATATGTAACACCTCTAATTCTTTTGTTTCCAGTACTAAGTCATATGGTCTAAAATTTTGTAACGTAAGTTTGCAAGTCAAACATTTTATGAAGATTTGAGTAGAAAAGAAAACTACAATGATCCTTTTACTCTCAGTGGGAAAAATTATTGTTTTGGAAGTGTACATTGGCTATTTACAAATGCAGAGAGAGATATATATGAAAAAGTGGGAGAGAGAGAGAGAGAGAAAGAGAGAGAGAGAGATCTTTCATATGTTGGTTCATTCCCCAAATGGAGACAAATATAGTAAAAATTTAACTTGTTGAGAAAGGAAGAAATATTGCTAGGATTCCAGTTGTTCAGAAAATTAATCCAAGGTATAGTCAATAAACAAGAGCAGGTTCTGCTTTCAGCTTCAGCCTCATCCATAAATGACACCATCCCGTTTTCCAGTGTCTCAGAACTAAAAGCTTGAAAGGGTGGGTAACTTCTTCTCTTGCAATCTTACTTTCAAATCTGAGTACATATGTCTTTAAGTATAGCTAATAGTAAGTATTACATTTGTGTTTCCTCTTCCATAACTTTAGATACAACCTCTAAGGTTGACATTCTCTGATAATAATATTGAGGTGGGGCTGGCGTTGTGGTGCTGTGGGTTACACTGCTGTCTGTGATGCTGGAATCCCACGTTAGAGCCAGTCTTGGCTGCTCTGTCTCCAGTCCAGCTAGTTGGTAGTGCACCTGGGAAGGCAGCAGGAAACAGCCCAAGTGCTGGGGCCCTACCACCTAGGTGGGAAACCCTGATAAGAGTTCCTAGCTCATGGCCTTGGCTGGGCTCAGCCCCAACCATTGTGACCATTTGTGGAGTGAATCAGTGGATGAAAGATCTCTTTCTCGAACAGGTCATCAAAGAAGGAGGTACCTTTATCTGAAGGGAGGAGAGAACTTCCACTCTGACTACGACCTTGTCTAAATATGATCAGAGTTGGTGAACTCAAAAGGCTTCCATAGCCTTGGCAACTGATGACAAGAGCCTGGGGTGACTACTGATGCCATAGACAAGAGTGTCAATTTGTTAAGTCAACAACAGGAGTCACTGTGCACTTACCCCTCATGTAGGATCTCTGTCCTTAATGTGCTGTACATTGTGATTTAATGCTATAACTAGTACTCAAACAGTATTTTTCACTTTATGTTTCTATGTGGGTGCAAACTGTTGAAATTTTTACTTAATATATACTAAACTGATCTTCTGTATATAAAGAGAATTGAAAATGACTCTTGATGTGAATGGAAGGGGAGAGAGAGCGGGAAAGGGGAGGGTTGCAGGTGGGAGGGAAGTTATGGGGAGGGGGGAGCCATTGTAATCCATAAGCTGTACTTTAGAAATTTATATTCATTAAATAAAAGTTAAAAAAAGATCTCTTTCTCTCTCTATATAACAGCCTTTCAGATAAATAAATCTTTAAGAACAAACTCAAAATGGAGCTACCGATATTTGGCAAGAATTAGCATGAGGTTGTGTAGAGTATAAAGATACAAAGCTTATTTCTTGATGCCTCATAAGCAGAAAATTTATTATTTAATTTTTAAAAATATTTATTTTTTATTTGAAAGGCAGAGTTACAGAGAGGCAGAGGCAGAGAGAGAGAGAGAGAGAAAGAGAGAGAGAGAGAGAGATCGATCTTCCATCTGCTCATTCATTTTCTGAATGGTCTCAATGAGCTGTACCTATCTGAAGCCAGGAGTCAGGAGCTTCATCTGGGTTTCCCACATGGGTACCGGGGCCCAAGCACTTGGGCCGCCCTCCATTTCTTTCTCAGGTGCATTAGGAAGGGGCTGGATCTGAAGTGGAGCAGCTGGGACACCAACCAGAGCCCATATGAGATGTTAACATTGCAGGTGGCTGCTTTACCTGTTATGCCACAACACAAGACCCATACAAGAAAATTTAACTCATCACCTGCTCCTGCATTCCACAATACTCCCGCCAAGCTCCTGTGTCAACTTACAGCCTCCAGGTAATCTAGCTCTGGCCTATCCCTCCCTTCACCCTTGCTTCCCTACCCTCAGCAGCCACAATCATCTGCTTTTTCTGGTGGCCACAATGAACTCATTCTTGCCCTAGCGTGCTGCCATTCTCATGGACTGAAATCCAATTCCTCCAACTTTCGTGTGACTGGCTCTTTTTGTTTAGGTCTTAGCACAAATCCACATCTTTAGACAGGTCTTTCCTGTCCATGGAGAACAGAACAATTCCCTCCTCATGTCACTCTATCAACTTACCCTGTTATCTTCCTCAGTGAACATTTTAAAATTTTTCACATTTCTCTTATTTGCATGTTTATAAATTAATTGTGAATTTCTGCTACTAGCAGGGTAGCTCTTTAAACCTGGGAACTCTTTGTGCTTTGCTTATCACTATTTTCCTGAATCCTGAAAGAGACCATGCCTCACAGTATACAGTGAGTGTTCAATAAATATTTGTGGGCAAGTGTGTATATGTGTGTGAATATGAGCTCTCAGTGGTGTGGAAAAGGCAGGAAGTTTCAGGGACAGAGGACAAAGAAAGGTTCTTGGGTAAGCAGATCATGATGTGGTCAAATTTACTATTCTATAGGAATAGAAATATATACGCAAGTATAGTTGCACTTGGGTCATCCTCCACTGCCCTCCCAGGCCACAGCAGAGAGCTGGACTGGAAGAGGACCAACGGGGACTAGAACCCGGCACCCATATGGGATGCCGGTGCTGCAGGTGGAGGATTAACCAAGGGAGCCACAGAGCTGGCCCCGGTGTTTCTACTTTTTACTTGTTAAATATTATGGTTAGTGCTTAATTAAGCCTGGGATTAAAGAGTGGATTAAAATTATGTCTTTGTAAAAATTAATGAAAATAAAAGTAGGGGTTAGGGGGATGGAGGAGGTGGGGAAGAAAGTATGGTTATCTTCTTAGAGCTGTATCTATAAAATACATGAAATCCATTCTCTTTAGATTAATAAAACATTTAAAAGAGATCTGAATTAAAGTCACTGATGTGGTGATGCCAGTTTGAGTTCCAGATGCTCCACTTCCAATGCAGATTCCTTCTAATGCATATGGGAAGAGTGCTGGTGATGGCTCAAATGCTTGGGTCCCTGCTGCTCTTGTAGGAGATTCTGATGGAGCTCCTAGCTCCTGGCTTTGGTCTGGCTCAGTCCTGGCTGTTGAAAATATTTTTGAGGTAAACAAGCAGATGGGAAACCTCTCTCTCTCTCTCTCTCTCTCTCTCTCTTTCAAGTAGATGAAATAAATAAATAGTTATACATTTTTCATTGAAATTTAAAAACCTGAAGATTATAGTATTGGCTGAAATTTCAAAGAAAGGTTGCACCTCACAGCAATCTTGTAACATGGGTAAGATTTTTATGAATTGTACTATATTAATCTGCAGTAACAATCCCCACAGTTCAGTGGATTAAATAGCAGTGACAGGCTGGTGTTTAGCTTGGCAATTCTACTCAGACGTACTGGGATCAGGTTGATGACAGCTCTGCCATCTTCAGCCTGTGTTTGCTAAGATTGTTCTAGTGTTGCCAGCAGTTGGAAGGCAGAAGTGACTAGCAAAGAACGTGAAGGCAGTTTTCAATGACCAGGATTCAGGGTGGAGGCGGCAGATTGTCTGCATTCTCATTCCACTGGTTCATATCTTAGTCAAATGTCCATAGATAAATATGCGGGAAATGTGCAAACATAATTTACCTATGTCTCCAAGAACCAGAGGAAGTAGATAGCAGGGAATTGCAAATGGGCACAGCTACAGTCTTCTCTGTATTTATTTAAAACCTGATGTTCATGAATGCTCAATTATAAGACTCTCTACCAAACCGATTTGCCATGTAGCTAGGCCTAGGATTTTTTTTTTTCTTTTTCTTTTCTGAAAATATTTATTTATTTTGAAAGTCAGAGTTAAAGAGAGAGAAGAAGGGAGGGAGAGAGAGATATCTTCCATCTGCTGGTTTGCTTCCCAGATGGTTGCAATGGCCAGGGCTGAGCCAGGCCAAAGCCAGCAGATTTATCAAGGTCTCCACATGGGTGGCAGGGCACAAATATCCAGACATCTTCTGCTGATTTTCTCAGGCCATTTAAATGGAGCTGGATCAGAACTGGGAACAGCCAGGACATGAACTGGAATCCATATGGGATGTTGGTGTCACAGACAGCAGCTTTACCTGCTATGCCACAGTGCTGGCCGCTGGGTTTAGGATCTTACCATCCTATCTTCTTATTTACCACTAGTTTACTGAGGCGTACTGTGCTGAGGAAGACAAGACCTCCTGTATTTCTTATGATGAGGTCTTCCAGAGAATCGGTGCATGGATAATACTGCCAGTAGCCTTTTGAGGAAGTTTCCTTCTCATCTAATTAAACAGCACTGCCTTTTCCCCCATGCCTTCCTGTTTTCCTGATTCTTGTTCTAATATTTCAGTCACATTTTGTAAAAGAACTGGTGAATGAAAATAGTCTCCCAGGAGAACTATTGATTCTGAGTGGTTGTTGATTTGTTACAGCTTGCAAGACATTTAATAGCTACACAGATGTTTTTGTTAGTTTAAAACAAATCACCACATATTTGAGGTGACTTTAATTTTTCATTAAACATGAAAGACAGACAAAATTTAACAACTTTAAAATTCACCCAACATTGATTTTACAGTTTTATTGTTTAGAGCTCAAAATTTTAAATCAGAGAAAAAACATGTCAGTGAACAATATTTATCAAATATTGGGATAGAGTCTTCCTTGTTTCTGTGCAGGAGTTGACAACATGCTTTCAAGGAATGACAGCTTCCTTGTGCAGACCAGACGAACTTACTGCAGAACTCGGATTGTGCAAAAGCCCATACCTGGTTCTAGTCTGGGTTAGGATGGACTGGGTGATGTGGACAAGTGATGTACAACATGCTGTATCCTCAGGTTCCTCCATTCTTACATTCAACCAACTGTGTATTGAAAATATTCAAAAAAATCAGGACTGAATGGAACAGGTACAGACATTTTTCCTGTCATTATCCTGAAATAATATAGTATAACAGCTATTTATGTAGCATTTACCTTATAGCAAGCACTATAAATAATTTAGAGATGATTTATAGTATACAGGAAGATATGCAAGAGTATATTCAAGTACTACACTATTTTATATAAAGGACCCAAGCATCCATGGATTTTGGCATCTGTAGTGGTTTCTAGAACCAGTCCTCTGCAGACACTGAGGGATGACATATATATTTTGGCTTCAGATTCCTCACTTATAAAACAGAGTTTTGGTCAAGATGACCTTTAAATATTCTTAAAGTCTTGACTTTTAAAATCAAGAAATGAAAAGACATGAGTTCTATAACAGAACTAGAAAAATACAGAGAAGGAAAATGATATTAATTTTATAGCAAAAAAATTAATTTATTATTTCAACAAAAAGCTTGCCTATTCATTAGGTGAAAAGTACTGTGCCAGAGGTACGAGAATGAGCAAAGTAAATTTTGTCTCCTGTCTTCATGCAGATTTTAGTTTAGCAAACAAGGTAACGAGAAAGTGAGCGACATGTTCATTTAAGAGTAAGCTACTTTTGGCCGGTGCCGCGGCTCACTAGGCTAATCCTCCGCCTAGCGGCGCCGGCACACCGGGTTCTAGTCCGGATTCTGTCCCGGTTGCCCCTCTTCCAGGCCAGCTCTCTGCTGTGGCCAGGGAGTGCAGTGGAGGATGGCCCAAGTGCTTGGGCCCTGCACCCCATGGGAGACCAGGAAAAGCACCTGGCTCCTGGCTCCTGCCATCGGATCAGCGCGGTGCGCCGGCCACAGCGCGCCTACCGCGGCGGCCATTGGAGGGTGAACGAACGGCAAAGGAAGACCTTTCTCTCTGTCTCTCTCTCTCACTGTCCACTCTGCCTGTCAAAAATAAAAAAAAAAAAAAAGAGTAAGCTACTTTTGTCTCTATAAATAAAACACTACTAAGAGAATAGCAAGAGATGGAGTTGGATGCAGGTAGGGTGCCTAATTATGAAAGTCTTTAATCCCAGGTGCAAGAAAAGTTCTAACTTTCAGTATAGACCACCATAAAGGATTTCCAAATTAAATGAGGTAAGCTAACAGGAATATTGAAGGAAAAGTAACATCTGGGATGAACTGGACCATATTTTCCTTGAATTTGTATTTAACATATTGACTTGTTCTGTAGTTTATATGTACAGTTACTCACTGATATATGCAGTGACCCCAATGATCATTCGCTTCCTCTTGTGTTCCCTCTTTACCCACTATCACTTAACCACCAGCTCATGACTGATAATTTACAACCTGGTCCGGAGTATACCTGCTGCTTGCAATATAAAGATATGGCCCAGTAGGCAATTGCAATTGACTAACACAAGCAGATTGATCTGTTTCACTGAGTGGGACCACACATGTTTCATGGCAAAGATTAGACAGTGATTCAGCATTCATGAGGAAACGTAACAACAAAAGGTTAGTAGAATAGTCCTAGGAGTGGAGCCATATTGGGAGCAATTGTGGAAGGAAATGGTCTGGATTTATTATCTACATTAAAGATATTGTGGGTCCCATGGATACCAGGAGTGTCATGGAGACCTAGCTAATAGGTTTTTTATTGGATTATTGTCAGGCTGCTGCACCTGCTTTGAGAAGGAACGTTTGCTGCGTTTCCTGGCAGAGACTACAAGCTGTGAAGCTGAGAACAATCACTGGGGTTGGAAATGGAACTGATTGCTTTTCAGAACTTTTGCAAGTATTGCAGGGCTGGTCTCCCAAGTGTGGAAGAATATGAAGAAATTACAAATCCAGAAAATAAAAAATTTCTCTTTGAGTACTCACATTTTGTTTTGGAATTAAAATATTCAAGTAGAAGAAGATTGTATAAGACACTGAAACACCAAAGTTAGTCAGCTAATTAATTATTGAGCCCATGTGATTCCTTTCCATACATTTTTTTTTGACAGGCATAGTGGACAATGAGAGAGAGAGACAGAGAGAAAGGTCTTCCTTTTGCTGTTGGTTCACCCTCCAATGGCAGCTGCAACTGGCGTGCTGTGGCAGGCGCACTGCGCTGATCTGAAGCCAGGAGCCAGGTGCTTCTCCTGGTCTCCCATGTGGGTGCAGGGCCCAAGGATCTGAGCCATCCTCCCCTGCACTCCTGGGCCACAGCAGAGAGCTGGCCTGGAAGAGGAGCAACTGGGACAGAATCTGGCACCCCGACCGGGACTAGAACCCAGGGTGCCAGCGCCGCAGGTGGAGGATTAGCCTATTGAACTGTGGTGCTGGCCCATACATCTTCTAAGACTTCTAAATATAGATATATTTTTTCTTTCTAGCTGACTTTTTTCATATTTTTTAGATAGTCAAGGGGCAGTATAAGAATAAGGTATTCTTAGAATGTTGACATGAAGGTAGACACAGTTTCCATACAATATAATTGGATGTATGGAGCTTGTTCAATAATGTCAGCATTGTTCTAGAATAATTACAAAAATAATTCTCGGTTTTGGTCTGGCTTAGTAATTCTGTAAGGTAGTCACCTAAATTGTCTGGTCACCTAAGTGAAGTGATAACTCCTAAACCACATTTTTCTCTTTCTTCTTCACTAGTTAACAGAAGTATAATTACAATTTTTGGTTCAACAAATGAACATATGCATGCATGAATAAGTGAATAGATAAGCAGTCATAGCCAGGTATATCAGAGTGCTACTGAGTGGGTGGCATCAGGTAATTATTGTGTAATATACACTCATACAGTCATGACCAACAGAAACTGATTACTTTTAAAAATTATTCTTGTGCCTAATCACAGAGTAGTGACTTGTACCTTGAAGAAACTAATTTTAAAGATTTATTTGAAAGGCAAAGTCTCTCTCTCTCTCTCACACACACACACACACACACACACAGAGAGAGAGAGAGAGAGAGAGAGAGAGAATTTTCCATTTGCTGGTTGGGTCAAGCTGAAACCAGGAGTTTCATCCAGGTATTCCCTATATGGATGCAAGGGCCCAGGGACTTGGGCCATCTTCCACTGCTTTGCCAGGTACATTAGCAGGGAGTTGGATCAGACATGGATTAGCTGGTACTTAAACTGGTGCCCATATGGGATGCTGGCATCACAGGCAGTGGGTTAATCTGCTATGCCACAATGCCAGCCCTGAAGAGACTAATTTTAAACCAGAGGCATTGACACAGGGTAATTTTAAATAATAGGCACTGATAAACTGATGGTCATGGCCACTGTTTTTAGATATTTTTTCCTGCTTTTAGGTAATTTTGGCGACCCTAGGTTTTTTCCTCAGGGTAGTATTATATCACTGTTAAAACACTTAGTTGTGTAGTGTTGTGGTTATTTACATCTCTTTGTCCTGCTTGTTTTTGAGATCCTTGAACTTGAAAGAAGAGATCCCATATTCTTCTTTGTTTCCCCAGCACCTACCTGGGTGTTTGGTATACAGTAAATGCTCAATGAACATTAATTTCTGATGAGGCATATGAATTTAGTTCCTGGCACTTACATATATCCATTGTCATTGCTATTTATCCTTTCTGGGTAGCACTTCTTAGAGCTTCTCAGTTCTATTCTCTGAGGATTTACATTTGATCAGATAGTTCTTAAAGGACAAAAAACTTTGAAGAATCAAAAGGATTCCTTATTTTTTGCAAGTTTAGAGACTTTGACACTAGTGGATATCTACTCCTTAAATAACTGTGATAGACAATTGCATATTCAGACTTCTTCTAAGCAACTACACAGGTGACTAGAAAGGACATATTTATATATATTAACCAGTAATAACAGACAACTACTTTCAGTAACTTCAAGCAGAACAGGAGTAGGTTTTTCTGGTTTCTGGTCTGCACTGAGCCTGTCTGCCTATTTATTTAAAATTTGTCCTACAAATATGGCGAGATGCCCAAAAAGGCCAGCAATGAAATGTGAGTCATTGGAATGGCTATGACTCAGAACTTGGGATCCCAAGCTGCTAAACTCTCAGACCAGATTTGGACTGGTGCCTTGAGGGCTGCTTCCAATTTGTTATTTGTTAAATCTAAGTTCTCCTGCTGGCTCAATTAATGAGACACGAATGCAGTTACTTTGGTGCATCTTTTGCAGCCATATGCCGCATGATGTGTGGAAACACCACCAGACTGGGAATCACAAGACACACATTCTGCTGCCAATCCTACCACTGACTAACCTTGTGTCTTGTGGCAAGTGGCTTTGTTTTCTCAGGTCTAAGTTTCTATGTTAATAAACTGAATTGATTGCCAAAACATTTTCTCTCTCTGTGATATCTCCTTTTTTACTTCATTTTATTTTATTGTGATAACATTTACCAAGATACCTACCTTCCTGGAAAAAAAATTTTAAGAGCACAACACAGTATTGTTAACTATAGGTGTGTGTTTGTACAGCAGATCCTGAAAACGCATTCATCTTTTATAACTGAAACTAGATACCTGTGGAAGAGCAATTCCTATTTCTGCCTACCCCTAGTCCCTGGCAACTACCATTCTACTCTCTGAGTTTATTTTTGTATCTCATAAATTGGAATTAGGTATCATTTATCCTTCTTTGGCTTATTTCCTTTAGCATACTATCCTCCAGCTTCATCCACATTGTTGCATATGGCAGGATGCAAAAATCTCTCTAATGTCATCACCTCATAAACCTCTGTGTCACTTTTAAAAGATGAGTGTCATGAGCACAAATGTATAGTACTCCCCAAGGTCAACTCACACCCTTGAGTATGTTACCTTATCAAGTTGGAAAACTCTAAGAGGAAGGAAAGCGCCTGCACCTGATTACTGCTGTGCAAAGCTCTCCAGCCACATGCCAACTCCTGACCTTTGTAATCAGTGCTGCCTGAGCTGCTTGGTGTATTCTCTGGATGAGTGAGCAGGTGGATGTCAAGAGTCTCCTCACTGAACGTGCTGCCTGATCCCATGTTGTGTACTCTGGTGAGAGTTTGCTCTTAGAGAAGGAAAGGCTCCAAGAAAACTCATGAATGAGGCCCAGGAGGAAGTACTCTGCACTTGGAGTAAGAGCTCCAGCATTCAGTTCTTTCTAGCCTGGGTAGTAATCATGTATCCTTGAGGTAATCAGCCCGTCTCGGTGATGCTTGATTTCAACTGAAGAAGATAATGCATGCGCCGTGAAGTTATCAGGAGATTAAAAAGGAAGAAAAAGTCAGTCATGAAAAAGCTAGAATGCACAAGGAAATTTTAGTCATTATTATAAGAAATTAGGAAGTTGTTTAACCAGAAACAAAAATTCCCAGCTGAAATTTAAACAGGCAGATGTTGTGAGACCTGAAACACATCACAAGGAAGAATAAAAAATTGAGCACCATAACAGTTCCAGTATAACCTCTCCTCATTCTTTGAGATTCATCACTGCTTGTTGGGTGCTGAGATTGAGCATGGCTCTGGAGGCCAGAAAAAGATCCCTAATTCTCCACTTAGAAACACTATCTCAGAAACTCCCTGTGTTCAGAGGGGAATGATTTTTAGGCATTAAAATTTCATGAAATTTTTCCTTTTGGATAATCTCTCTGTAGTAGGGACATCTTCTGATGGGAGATTTCCACATAGATTTTGATGAAAAGGAGATGACATGCCTTAGGAAGTAAGTGTAGATAAAGAGTTTGAGTGTAAGAGAAAACATTGTTCATATTAGAGAAAATCAAATGACTTGGTACCCTTAACTGTCAGTCTAAAGGTGTGTGCCTCAGTATCACAGTCCCTGGTCTAGCCACATAGGCCACATGCACACTGGCAAGGAACAAAAAACCCAATACAATTCAGGTTCACCACTTATGGAAGACACCATCTCAACCCAGCACAAAGCTTGGCTGGCATAGTTTATCCTGAATACACCCACACCAAGCACATCTTCTTTTCTTCAAAACCTACCCTACCCTCTTGTCTAATAAATGCCAGTTACTGAAACCCCCACATCAGAAACCTGGCAGAGGTTCTAGTCTTCTTCTCTTCATATGAACCTGTTCACCTTAGCATCTTTTTTTCCACTTATTGTTTTATAATCTCAATGTAATCTCTTTAGATCATATGCTATTTTTAATTATTTTATCTTTAATTGCTGCAAGAATGGCATGCAGGTGGGGACCGAATTGCAAATCTATGAAATGCCATCTACTTCACATTCCTTGTATCATAGAGTTTATTTTATGATTGTGATGATAATAGAATGGATTTTGAGCATTAGTCAGGTACTAAGCTCTGCACATCATTTTAAACTTATTATCTTGCTGACCACCCCATAGCATTACCTCTCACTATTTACTCTGTTGCTACAATGAATCTTGTATTCAGATTTACTCTAGTTCCCTGGGTCTTCTTTACCTTACTTTGGAATTCCCCAAGGCAAGGAGTTCTTTCCAAGATGGCTCTTGACTGCCTCCTCACTTCGTTGCCCCTCGCCAAAGCATCCTAAATTACTGTCCACAGGATTTGCTCCCTGCACTGGTCTATGCTCTTCAAATACCTAGATCACCATCTCTTTCCTTTCACATCTGCCATAATGCTTTTCTTTAACATTTTTGTTCTTTCCATTTCCTCCAGGAGCCTTACCCAACCTGCTAGACAGTTCTAGCTCCTCTCATGGACATTTGGGATTTGCTCTGTGTGGCAGTCACTATTTGTTTTAGTGTCAGCATCTCAGAGTTCTCATTTTTGAAGAATTGCTATCCTCTAAGGAAACAGACTAAGCAAGAGGGCTGGAAGATGGGCTGTTTTATTGGCGTTGAGAAAACATAGCTATCTTTGGAATCTGACTTAAAATGCAATTATATTTACATACCAGCCAGTAACTACTGAGCTGGCTATTTTGATAGCAATTCCTGCTCCTTGACTCCTAGGGACAAAGTTTATTCCTAATTATCTGAGGCCTTTGTTGCATCTCCTGAGGCTTCCTTGACCATTCAAATACATTAGCTCTTCTTTGTGCTTTGACAAGCCAGCATTCACTTCTGCTGTTTTGAGGAGTCTCTGATCAACATAGAGGCTCTCCTTTGAGCAAACCTCACATGCTCTGCTTGTTCTCTTATTGTCCCTTTTCACCCTTGGCTCAGTACCATTTACCCTCCCATGCATTTATATTTCTGCCCCCTTGAGAGCAACCGGCATGAGGACATGCAGTGGTTTATCCTTGTGTGGCAAGTGCTTGGCCAGCCACTTGGATAAAGAAAGTGTTCAAAACTTGGTGGGCAAATTAATGAGACCACAGAAAAGAGCTACTCTGTGACTGTGAGGTTGAGTGGCAGTGAGATAAAGGGAAGCTGAGCAGAAACAGGATGCAAATCACATACTCATAGGAAGTTGGCAAAGGAGGACTTGCCAACCAAATGTGGACGATAAGGGGTAGGGGGATGACTTTGAGATGCTGAGACAGAGTAAGGCAAATGGAAGATAACTTGGCTGTCATTTCACTTAACAGGGCAGGAAGGAAACTCATCTTATTTATTATTCTTAGGCAATTCAATGAAAGTCTAAAATATTTTTTTGAATGATTTGATAAATGTCTGGGTAAAGAAACAATAAGCAATCTTCAGGGAAGATTGGAGCAGCTGGAGTGTTTTCTGCCATTTATTTAAAGTTGTGGTGATGCAATCTCTCTTAGCCTTTACCCTGGGCTGCTGCCATCAGAAGTCAGCATAGAGCCCTGTGTGCAGAAGCTGTGGCCATATAGCTCCAGCAGCCTTGCCTGGGGACACTGATGTCAACAAGCCTGATGTCATGCTCTCTCCAGTTTTTTCATAGGTTAACACCCATGGGGCCAGGGCTTTCCAAACTATGCCCTGAGTCTTGGGATTCCATGGTGGCTTCTCACTTTGCTCACCCCACTGGTCCTTCCCTGGCCACATCCTTAGATGTGCTTGCATCAGTCATGCTAAAAGAATTCAGAACATTAGGGAATTCAGTGAAATTGAATGACCTCTTGCTTATTTTTGTGACTGTGGTCTTACACAAAATCCTCTGTTGACAGCATTTTCTTCAACCGTATTTTCCTAGAAGTTGCATCAACCTAGTTCTTCCCCAAGATATTTGGATAATTCATTTCACTTTATGGAGTCTCAGCTTCATTATCTGCAAAAAAGGATAGCAATTGTTGTTTCTATTTCACACACTTGTAGGTGAAAGCCTAGTGGAATAAAGAATGGGGAAATTTCTGGAAGCAAAGTTGCTCATGGTATTGTCATTGCTGTTTCTATTGCCACACTCTTCTCTGAGTTGATCACACCTATCTCCTTCAACATCTTCTTGTTGGAGATGCACTGTTAACCTTGAAACACAGTCTAGAGAGAATAGGGAATATCTAAAAATTATAATCTTCCTCTCTTCTCCCATCCAATCTTTTTTCCAATAAAAACTTGGGATCAATTGTCATAGAATACAGATAAGTCAATTCTTTGTGGTCTCTGTTTTTTTATTATCTTTTGATATATGCTGTCATTTCCAAAGATTATTGAAAACAAACATATTTGACCTTCTTTTTGATAAGAACAAAAACCTTATGAGGGCTTTGTAATGTATGTTAGTGCTATTAAATATTTATGGTTATAATTCAGCTGTATTAGTTTCTAGGGCTGCTGTAACAAAGTGCCACAGACTAGGTGATTGAAACAACAGAAACCAATTGTCTCCCACATCAAAGTGCTAGATTTTGTTACTTCTGTGAACTGTGAAGGAGAATTTGTTTTATTCCTCTCTCATAAATTTTGCTGGTTTATGGATAATCTTTGATTTTGGCTTATAGATCTTTGCCATTTTCTTCTCCTGGCATTCTCACGTTGTGTGTATCTATATATCTATTTAATCTTTGTGTAAAAATACCAGTTATATTGGATTATGGACATTCCCTACACCAGTATGATGTTCTCTTAACTACTAATATCTGCCACAAACCTATTTTCAAATAATACCATATTATGAGGTACTGGGAACTAGGACTTCCACATAAGAACTTCAGGGGGCACAATTCAACTCACAACCTTACCATCACCACCACCACCAACATGACCATCATCATCATCACCCTATCAACATTGTGAGAAGTGGATCCTCAGGGCTACTATTCCCCGAGAGTCTGTCTTGACATATTCTTTCTGTGTGTTAGAGGGAAGAAATCTAATGTTTCTCCATGAGACATCATAGTGCACTTTCCTTTGGACTCACAGAATTATTTTTGAAGTTGAGCTGTTTCATAATCCTATTGATGGAAACTCACATGAATAGCATCCATGGATACTTAGACTGTTAAAACCTCATCAAACATGTATTTTCTGTTCCATCTCTAAATGTCTGTTATAATAAGATGAACAGCTCCCACGTGGTGCAGAATTCTGTGATACACTGCAGGGGGATTCAGTTAAAGTTAATTGGTCACATTTAGGCTAACTTTCATAATCCTCAAAGTGAAAATACAGAGTACTATTGTGTTTTTATGGTAACATGCATTGGAAAGCTATAAGAATTAATCCCTCCTTTTCCCCCTTCCTTTTTTAGAGCATTATCATCTCCTGCTTAGAAGTCTAGTAGCCCCAAGATGTCAGAGATTGCAATTTAGAAAGGAAAAGTGAAATCAACCCACCCTATGGGTTCAGAACCTGACTGACTGAGCAAATTGCAGCCTGTAGTTTTTGCCTAAGAGTCAGGTAGGCAGGCACATCAACTGCTGTGTGTGCAAGGGTGGGAGGGCACGCTTTCTGTCTTAAAACACAATTTATGGAGGTGGTGACTGCCACAATGAGCATGTCTGAATGGGTGATTGAAACAATTTCCCATATGAGAATGATGCCAGTGAGCATTAAGACTGGTGATGTCTTCATATTGTTGTCAAGTGCTCTCTCTAAATTCAGTGGAGAAACAGCATGGGCAAGGAAAAAAGAGAGTAAATAGATGGTATATATTATCAAGATAAAAATCAAAAGACAAACTTTTGAAAGTAAAAGTATAAAATCACTGAATCCATCATGCATAACTTGTAAATGCTTTGTAAAATTAGGATAAAAATAAAGCAAATGAATGAGCAAATGAATAAAATGACAAACAACAAACACCTCAAAACATACTAACATACCTATCAGATTCAGTCATTTTCATCTTCCCTTTCTTCCATTTCACATTCATCATTCTCTTCCTGTGTAATCCTTGGTTTAAAGTTGGTAAGTGCACACAAGAAACCTCAAACATTGCTAAACCCAAGAAAATTCCATAACTCTATAAATCATTCTAGTGTTTCATTAAGCAAATAATTTCCAATACCTCACTGTATGGGATTTTCCTAGACCATTCAGATTTTGTTGGGGAGGCATTTTTGTTCCCCTTGTCTAAAAGAAGCCTCCAGGATAGCCTCTGTTCTGTTCTTACCTAAGTGTTCTTGTGCATTTCTGCTGCTTTGCCCTTGTGACCAAGGCTCACAAAGAAGGCAGACACTGTATCCAACGTCTCAATTCCATGCTTCCTCTTGGTGACAATGCTCAAAACATGTACACGGACCATTTGAATTCATCTGAACTGTTAAGGGGATTCTTTCTAATGACTTTCTGTTTTTATGATCTTCTTTGAAGTTTTCACCTCCTAGCTGGGTGCTGCCTGCTTCAGGAACCCTCTTTGATAGTGAAGGATGCTCAGTGCTTCTGTGCTGAACTCCCAGGATGTTTATTTATTTATACTCGCCTGTTGCTATGTGAATGCATTCAAGTTTTTCTAGCCTGTCTTGGTACTGCTTTCTTCTCATCATACCACCTGTTTCAACTGTTGAAGGCAAGAAAATGTCTTCATTTTATTTTCTGTCTCTATACTCTTCTTATCTTCCTAACTTTCCCTTTATTTCTAGATATCCTCAACTATCACCATCCCTCAGATCTAGAAATAGACATTGCATCATTCATAGCAGAGTAATAGAGAACAGAATTCATTTTAGCTAAATCAATAAGTGCTTATTATAGTGTAATATTATTAAATAACATAATCATCCAGTGGGCTAAAAAACCAAAATGTATATCAAGCTTTCAAGAATAGCTCCCAAGCCCACCATACTGTAACATACTGTAACTGACCACTGAGAAAACTGCTAATTCTTCATGGTAGTCAATAATATCATAACCCAGAAGCTGACATGAGCTGGAAGTGGCTATCACCAGCAAACTACTCTAGCTCAGCAGTTATTATCGTCAGCCTTAAGACTGCAACTGAACCTGTTACAATCTGCATCAGCAACCCTTGACTCTCATAAAGCTATTGAACAGACCTTGAGACCTCTACTAAAATGCTGTCATTAAACACCTAATGTCTCCATGGTTGTGCTTGCCAGAAAAATAGCAGAGGCTGACAGTGCCACCTCCACTTACATTCTGCTTTCAAATATCATATAAATGAATCCAGTTGTCTAAAGTTATACCACATCTAGAGTCCTAGATTCAATGGTCCCTAAGAAATATGTTTTCCAGTTTTTTCATCTCAGTGGAACAAGGTAGCACCCTGGACAGAGGTTGTGAGTAGGGGGATGGGATGAATATGACACGCTGATCTGTCATATCACAGTCACCTTTTATTTTTCTCAGTTTTATCATTTATGATCAGTAGGCCTCTTCTATTGACACATCCTGTTTATACAAAGTAGAACTCTTGATCTTCTTTGCTTTATTCCATCCTTGCTTAGTTTAGTCTCTTGACTTTTTCAGTCTGTATTATTGTAGAAACCTTATTGCCTATTACTATTCTTTGTTTTCATTAAATCCTATTTTGTTTATCCAATATACTGTTCTTTGATTTATTTACTCATTGAGTTCATTAATAATTTACTGAGTGTCTGCTTTGTGTAATACCTGTGTTCTAAGTCAAATGAGTATGCTGTCTTCAGGATGTTTAATCATCGTGTGGTGATGGTAGTTATAGGGTCCTGGAGGATAAGACAAAATTCCTCATGATATTTATATTCCAGTGGAGAGAAGCAGATAATAATCAAACAAATAAATTTTTCCTTTATTGCCACATCAAACCTGTGGTCAAGAACATCAAAGTTCTTCTTAAGAGTTTTATTAAATCTACACGTTCAATCACTTTGAGAAGCACCATTTAATTCCAATCATATCCATGCACCTATCTCCCTGCTTCAAGACATCCAGATGGGGGACTTTATGTTGGGCCATTGTTGGCCACTGAGCAGACAGGGAACTTCAGTGTGCTCAAGGTCACCAAGGCTACGTACACTAAGAAGCAGTTCCAGAAATTTTGAGTCTGTATACTCAGCTACATCTTTCCCAGCTACATCTCTGGTCTCATCTCACAGCACAACCCTACTTTCACCACCTTTCTTAAACCCACTAAATTCATTACCACCTTATACCTTCTACTCTTTCAACAGCAGAAGTTTTCCCCTGGGAACTTCACATGTGTAGTTACTTTCTATCTGTCAGAAATCAGATCATTGTCAACCTTCTAAGATATACCACTCCAGTTCCTTCAGATCTTATCACCTCCCTGTATTTTCTTTGTAGAAGCAATAACCACCTGAAATTATTTACTTGTCATTTTTTCATTTTTCATACCAGAACATAAACTCCATAAAGAATATTGCTTCTTTATTGGTTTGATCACCAATGTGTAGACCATGCTGGAATTTTATGAACATTCATCTAATTAATAAATTAATGAGGAATATATCAATATCTTTTAACTCATGTTTTGCCTCCTCTGTGGAAACTTTTTTCAAATTTTTAATTTAATAAATATAAATTTCCAAAGTACAACTTTGGGATTATACTGGCTTTTCCCATCATACCTCCCTCCCATGCACAACCATTGCATCTCCAACTCCCATTCTCATCCCATTCTACATCAAGATTCATTTTTAATTATCTTTATATACAGAAGATCAACTTAGTATATACTAAGTAAAGATTTCAACAGTTTGCACCCACTCTTATATTTAACAGAGATCACTTTTCAGTTACATTTAAACGCCCAAGAATAATTGTGTGTTAATTAAAGAATTCAATCAATGGTATTAAGTAGAACAAAAAATACTAAAAGGAATAAAAGAGTAAGTTGTTCCTTGAGAATCAGGACAAGGGATGATCAAG